GCCGGCGAGGCCTCCCGCCTGGCGCACTACAACAAGCGCTCGACCATCACGTCCCGGGAGATCCAGACTGCCGTGCGCCTGCTGCTGCCCGGGGAGCTGGCCAAGCACGCCGTGTCCGAGGGCACCAAGGCTGTCACCAAGTACACCAGCTCCAAGTAAAATATCCTGGTGTTAATATTTTAAATTCAACGGCTCTTTTAAGAGCCACCTACATGCACGGCAGAAGAGCTGTATGACTGTCACGTCAATAGAGTCTTTAAATAGAAATATTGGGGGGCGGGAATGTGCAAGAAGCGTGACTGGTAATGTTCGCCTAAAGTCCTTTTCCACTTTTCCGCTGCTCATTCTAAGGTTAAAAGTCAACGGAATAAAAGCTTGGGTTTTTCTCAAAGTCAATCGTTAAGTATCGATAATGGGGGGCAGGGAACAAAAATAAGCGGACGGGAGGGGAGATAAGGTGGTGTGGTTTACGGGATGGGGTTCAAAGACCGTCCAGAGGCTTGCGGCGCGCGAATGCCAGAAAGATGTTCGAAAACAAAAATGAATTGGGAGCGAATGGCGGATAAAATCCCACACCAGAGAGGCGGGCTTTTCAAAGCCTCGGAGCTGCCCAATGCGCTCTCCCTGTTCACTCGGTAACCAGTCAGGGAAAGGACCCCAGGCAACCGTAGAAGAAAAAAAGAGGGCAGCTGCTGCAAAGCCTAGTAGTCTTTTGCCGTGGGCAAAAGAGTTGGCTTCCGAGTTTCCCTGAATAGCGGCCTTACTGCTAAGAAATGCAGTATGCTTACTGGGCCACTATGCCCCTGCGGGAGATATATATGAATTGCCAGTTGCCATACCTTTCTCGGCCCCGGTACCTGAAGATTAGCGACTGAATGCTCTACTCACCTTTAGAGTTTTGCAAAGCAATCGAGCCACGCGGGGAAGAGAGGGGGAGGACTGAAGACACCCTGATCTTGTAAAGAAAGTAGCCGTTATGAGCAGGGACTGCAGCCTACCGAGCACAGTCTGGGTAGCAGAGAGGTATATAGCCTAGGGCAGCGGGTGAAGGGTGATCATAAACCGGTCTCTTGAGAAATACGGCACTTTAAGGATCTCTACTGGCCTATTGCCTTTTTCATTTTCAGTTAAATGTGTCCCTTTTAAATCGGGGAATTTAAAAGGAATGCAAAACAAAACGGTTTTAACAACCGGCACAAGCAGCTTCTCCATAGCTTAATGGGCAAAGTGTAACTAGAAACAGGGCTCCAGGACTGCAGAGCTGCAGCAGGTCGCCGCCTGGACTCTTACCTCTTCTCCTATTGCAAGCTACCTTAGTCCACTTGCTCCGATGGGCGATCAAGGAAGGGTCTGTGAAAGGAGGGATTCAGCTCTTTCTGGAAAATGTGGGTGGCTCTTAAAAGAGCCTTTGGGTGTATAGGTGCAAGCATCTTAAAATCACCTTACTTCTTCTTGGGCGCCGCCTTCTTGGCCTTGGCTGCCTTGGGCTTGCTGGGCTTGGCAGCCTTAGGCTTCACCGCCTTGGTCTTGGCCGGGCTCTTGGCGGCCCGTTTGGGCTTGGTCGTCTTGGCCTTCTTGGGGCTCTTGGCCGCGCTCTTCTTGGCCGCGGCGGCCGCCGGTTTCTTGGCTTTCTTGGGGCTCTTCTTCACGGCCGCCGCCTTCTTGGGCTTAGCTGCCGCCACCGCCTTCTTCTTGGGCGCCTTCTCCTTGGCCTCGCCCGGCTTCTTATTCAGCCTGAAGGAGCCCGAGGCGCCGGTGCCTTTGGTCTGCACCAGGATGCCTTTACTCACCAAGCTCTTGAGCCCCACCTTGATGCGGCTATTGCTTTTCTCCACATCGTAGCCGCCGGCTGCCAGAGCCTTCTTCAGCGCGGCCAGGGACAGCCCCTTGCGCTCCTTGGAGGAGGACACGGCCTGGGTGATCAGCTCGGTCACGCTGGGCCCCGCGGGCTTGCGGGCCTTGGAGCCGCCCGCCGCCTTCTTGGCGGGGGCCTTGGCTCCGGCTGCAGCGCCAAGAGACGCGGCGGCGGGCGCAGCTTCAGACATGGCAGTAGGGGTCCAAAAACCAGGAAAAAAAAAAAAGTGCTAGTGCTACACTAGGTGTGACGCCGGCTTTATAGAGAAGAGCTGCTCTGTGATTGGCGCGTTACAGAGCCCGCCCACCTGCAAGCCAGGAAGGTCTCTTTCTTTCCTTCTGTTTGTGTTTCTTCAGAGGAGAAAAAAGTGTAAATTTTGCCCAGCGCCTACCTCTGTCTCACCCGATTTCTCCTCCGAGCCCAGAGCAAAGCTTGCCTGTTCATCCAGGAGAAGCTTCCCCATGTAGAGACCCGCCGTGAGTATAAGAAAGAGGCAATAAAAGCCGCGGGCTCTGGCCGGAGAGAGCTCGCGAGAAGGAAACTTTTATTTTTCCTTCTGAATTAAAACTATGTCGTCCCCAATCGAAGGGCAAACAATGCGACACTTTATTCTTCAGAGGGCTTTCTTCATCTCGGGGGAGAAAGCCAATCACTGGAGTCGATGTTTTCCTCCTAAAATAATTTCATAGAGAAGCAAGTAACACAATCCAGTCCCTCAACTCATTCTTTCAAATGGCGTAAGAACTGGCTCTCTTAGCCATGTGTTTTACCTCTGGCATTTTGTTGAAAAATGCATCGTGCGGCATTACAAAGAGGTCATGAGAAGCTCATAGAGGAGTATATATGCTCCTGAAATGCAGGTTGAAACAGTAGCCTCGCTACACTTTTCCAGGTGCTGTAGAAAAAAAAAAGTTTGGTTTTATCCTGTTATTTTTTCTACTCATGCATGTAACTGAAAATTTACAGCAAGAACAGCATACTTTTGTTCTTTAAATGTAATAGTGAAGCTACTGTAATGTTTGGGTCTCAAAGGAAGCAGATGTGATTTGATACCAGTACATGATATTAAGTGAGAAATTGCCTTTAAGTAAAAAGCATGTAAAATAGAGATCATATATTAAACAGTATAAAACAGCAGATAATATTCTTTTCTTTCTCCATCAAAAATATTATACTGACTTTGGTTCCATGTACGGGGTAATCGACAAGAAATGTTATTTAGTCTTTTAAGTACGGTATCTTCATTATGCATTGAATGCTTCATGCAACGTATACCACTTTTTCTGAATTAAAAAAGGAGCCCTTTAGAAACCTTTAATATATTCTGCAGCAGAAATATAACATAAAACAGGGAAAGAACATGAGCATCTTATCTAGTGTTTCCCAAATTGTACAGAGTGAACTACCTGTCATTTAAAACAAGGTATATAGTCCCCAGGTGTCCAAATAAATGTACAAGGTCTTCATAACATTTTCAAATAAAATGTTGGTGCCTAAAGTGCAAGATAGTGGCCAAGACATTTTGAGGATGGACAGTGGATTGTGAGTCCAAAAAAGTTTTGGAAACAATATTCTAAACCAATGTTAAAAAAAAAAAAAAAAAAAA